CTATCAACATAACAATTATTTAGCGCCCACTCCCCCGTCTGGAGTCGACCACGCCCAGTCGAGACCACGCCCAGCGCCGATAACGCCCCGTCCACCAAAAAATTTTTGACTGAGGTACGAAAAATCCTAGATCCGCCCCTGGACCCCTAGACATGCGTGTCGTGGTGAAAATCCATTCCGTCCTGACAGGGTCCTGCACATTGTCCCAGTGATTTTGTCAGCGATTTCCTCTTCCTGACAGATGTACATATCACTTGGAAGACTTCCAGTATATATTCCTAAGTCTTTTGCCTGTCACTCATTTGCCTGGACAAGAAAAATTGCTAACAAAATTGCTTGTGTGAACTAAGCTTAGTCAAATTCTACAGAATTAAGTTTAAATTTCAACTATATTAATTGCTTGTGCACATGCAACCCATTGTTTGTTAGATATCACATATATAAGTCACATTGTACCCTGACGCAGAGGTGGATTTATAGGGGGTGCACGGGGGGTGCACCCCGTTGGCCTTGGTCAACAGGGGTGCAAGGTGGGTGCAAAAAAATCAAATTCAGAAATATGGCATGATTTCCAAGGTTTTTCCTTTTTTGAAGTCAAACTGAAGTTCATAATTCAATTCTAGGGTTCTAATTTTCAAAATTTCCTGGGGGCATACCCTCTAGGGAGCATGCGCCTTCGGCACTCAAGTCGTTAGGAAGCCAATTCATTGGAATGCTCTCCTACCACCCCCTAAAGAATTATAAAGAAACACTCAGCTGCTCACCCAGCACCCCCCTAGAAAAACCTTGCTGGATCCACCCCTGCCCTGATGGAAATTTAACTTGTCAAGAAGAGTCTGAGCACTGATGCTCAATGGGTTATCTATCCATGTGTCTAGTTGACCCATGAAGTTGCATTGCAACCTAATGTGCCCGACTTTGTTATATGTTATTATTTGACTTGTCAAGGAGAGAGCGCTGACACACAATCAATGTTAAGGGATGGGATTTGATTTTGATAACTAAAGTCACTCTATAATCACCGATAGCTTATTTTCAATTTTTTGGTGCCAAGTTTGTGACGTAATTTACCCGCCAAAAAGTAGCAATTCCAAAAACAAAAAACATACGATTTGTGTAAAGAATGATATGTTCCTTCACCGTCACGTGTGTATTATATTTTTGCCATGTCCACGAATAGCAATTTTCAGTTTACCTTATTGTTTGAGTCATGGATCTATAGGTAACTTTCCTAAAACATTGCTATTGGTTAGTCGGGCAAAAATACAATACGCACATGACGGTAAAAGATCAGATTTATGAATGTTCTTGTTCACTAACATAGATAATGAGTTATATTGAATTAATTTGTTATTCTAATGAGTTTCCAAACCATCTATTCTATTAACTACCGTGGGAGTGAACACTCCAGGACCCTGCTGGACCAAAACTTTGAAAAGTTTAAATAGCCCCCCCTTCCATATATTGAGAACTTTCAGAGCTCCCCCTTTAATGCCTGAAAATATTTCGGTACCCCCCCCCCTTAACATCTTCATACCCCCTCCCCTCGGCATAATAAATGTACTTTCCCTTACTATGGGCATCGACCCATCTATCTATAGATCTATTGCTGCCCGAAATTCAAATTTTCAGGTGGGGGCTCCTAAGCAGGCTACGCTATCTATAGATCTTCTTATATTGCTGCCATGTTGTAAAACAACTTTGCATTTTTATCGCTTCAGATTTCCCAGATTCTAAAGATTGAAGGATGTTTTATATCGGTGACATTTTCACAGCCACACTTCAGGAAGCCATATCTTGCCAAGTCTGAGTATGACTGGTCAATATCAACAAATATGTTTGGAAATTACTTTCATTATTTTTTCTATGTTATGGAGAAAGGAAAAGAACTAAGTGAGACTGACAAGATGGTAGAAGTGACTGAAAGCAAGAAGATGCATGACAGTGTTCATCAGTGTACTTCTTTTACTGAGTTAGAGGAGCAAGATGAGAACTTTCTAAATAATATTAATTTATTTCCTTGACAATGATCTAGATGTCTCTTCTTTTCTCTTTAGACACTCGTACACATCAACAAATGTTACTAACTTCTCTTTTTAGAGACTCCTTCTTCTAATGAGTTCGACCGGATTGTTTTTCTTTGAAACAGTCTTCCCGGTCATATCATTGAATGTACCTCCATTTCTTCCTTCAAAAACAATCTGTATTCTCACTACCTTTCCAAACTTGAATCATGCACCTTCGACGTCAATCGAATGCGCACTTGGTAGACTTAATTATTGTTCCAAACAATGGACTGTAATGTCCGTGCAAGACCCGTCTTAAGTTAATGCTGTACAGAATTGCCTCTTCTTAAAAAAATACACTATTTGTCATGGGATAGCCCATATACACTAGTAATGTGTTATTTAATTGGTGTCTTCGAACTTCTTGGACAGTCTACATTCGACGTCCAAGTTTTAAGTTTCTTACAGTAAACTACAATAACATGTGAGGTTGAATCCGTGACTGGTAGATATTCTATTGGAATATAGTTCTGTTGGAGTATAGGAAGATCAGGGTGGTGATCAGCGTTTAGTAGGTCGGCGTTGATCGGATAAACGAGTAGAGCCAGAGCCCAGAGGAAAGTTGACTTGTATTGAATTTCGTTGGGCCCGGGTCAAACGTCGCTCTTCTCATGCGCCGGACCTAATAGGTTAAGTTGGACAGAATGGATTAGGTGTGACAGAGGTATAATTTTGGAGCGGATATTGGAGCGACGGGTCTTGTGGCAGTGTGGGCGACTCTGGAGCGACAGCAATTCAAACCGGTCGTACGTTCGCATGAAACGAGCGACGTTTGTTCCGGGCCTTTATAGAATACTATTCATGCAACTTTGTTTCTTAGGTTTAGCAATGAGAACAGATAAATGAAAACAAAAATGTCAAAATGAAAAGTTACATACTTCGAATCACTGCTGAGCCTGTAAGGCATGCGCTCAGAATAAGCAGTGTTAGCACACTTCATGTGAATATCAAGTTTTTGTTGGCATCTCACTCAATTCAATATTAATAGTTCAAGGGTGTTGTAGATGAAAAATTATCAAGTGGAAATTTATCAGACATTTGGCTTAAACTAGAGAGCTGCACCGGAATCGCAGGTTCGAATGGTTCGATTCCTGCCAGGGACCTACAAGACCCTTCAACTACACGTATTATTCAATCGAGTGAGATGACAACAAAATCTTGATATTTATCCATAACCTAACATGGCAGTACCCTAGTATATATACATGAACTTGTGGTTAGAGCTCGACAACTGGCTTCTGTAGCTTAGTTGGTTAGAGCGCTCATGGGCGTACCGGAAGGAAAAAATTAGGGGGGCGGAAAGAAAACTGCCCGACTTTTCGGGATTCTGCCCGACTAGTACCAAAAAATTTTTTCCGGAAAAATTATTTTGGCGACCTCCCCC